AAGTGTATTGCACGTTTTTTTTTCTCGCGAGTTGGCCGTGCTATTCCCTCGCCGGATGGCGAGAACCTTCGCCGACCTACCGACGGCTTGCGGGTTTTTCCCCGACAAGCTCTATGCTCCCGACCGACTTCCCAGTACGTGTGGTAGTGTAGTGTAAGTGTGTCTGAAGGGTGAGGGTAGGGCAAGGAAGAGGAAGGAAAGATTGCGCCCGTTGGTTAGAGTACTGCTCCGGCATTCGTTTAGCGTTGATCGGAGAAACCACGGGAAACTACCGATGAGAGCAGCCGACCGCCACTACTAAATTCAACTTAGTTATGTAGTTAGTGTCGAAACACCTGCCACCGTCGGGACTCGACCGTAGGACCTCCCGGTCAGAGGCACCACAGTGACATCAGTTGACGCCCTGAGCCACCTCTCCCGGTCCTTTTTCACTTCAAACATGAGTACTCGTGTTAGAGAATTCTCGCGCGCGTGTGTAAGGGTGTGTCTCCGCGGCGGCAGAAGGGACGGGGCGCCGAAGGGAGGCTGCGGAAGGGGCCAAGCCAATGGCAGCGACGCGCGGAAGCAACGGTGGCGCCAGCAGGCGGCAGCTGCTAACGCCATTACGGAAATGGAAAGACAAAAGCGGGACAAAACGTCTCTCCTCAGATTCTTTAATACGATTAACGAAGAGTCTTATCAAAGAGCAACTCGTGGAGCGACGGCGGGTAGTGAAGTTACCGGCGCTCCCCAGCAGCTGTCGCCTCACGGCACGAGGCGGCGGCGGAGGGGTGGGGAGAGACTCTGCGCTCTGGCGGAAAGGGGAGGCTCACGCGGGCCCGAGGCAGAGCGCACGCCCCAGGTGGCCGAGGGTGTAAAGAACGGACAAAATAATATTCAGAAACATTTACACTTCGAATGTTTTACGAGAATATTCGATATCGATACGGCACTGCACTACCACACAAGTCGGGTGAAACGTTGGGAGCTTAGAGCTTGTCCCGGCTTGTGCGGTTCTCCGCTTGTGGGAGATACCTGGTTGGGGAAAATCAACGCTAGACGACGTAGGTCGGCGCCGGATCTCGCCATCCAGCAGGGAAAGATCGCCGCCACCTCCCGAGATACAACCATGCATTATACTGCGGAGATGTATGACTTTAACAGTTGACGCACCTCGAATCACCAATCCATCAACTTAAGACATACGGAAATTAAAATAATGTATTATAAACACCGGCATTTTATTGACCGGAAATTACACTTGATTAATTCAAAATCTAGGAGTTACTACCTTTTCGCCAGCCAAGGAATGCTATAAAGAAATATAAATAGTTTGACGTACTACATATATTTCTAAATATTTGAGCTATTTTTACATAGTTAACTGAGGTTTTCAAAAAATAATTCGTAGTATGAACACTTTTATAGCTATCTGCATGTACCTACGTACAAACCCCTTGAATGCGTAGTAACAACTTCTTTTTCCCAAGCACAGTGCGCCTTAAGTGACCAAATTTATAGGCAGGGTTCAAATAAAATTTCTTAGCGCGTAATAGGCGATCTGAGATCAGTAAAAGAATCAGATGAGCCAAATGCCACCGCACATGCTTCTAGGTAATATGTGGTAAATCATACTTCGAATTATGAACAATGAATATAAACGAGTGATCAATGAAAAAGATGTTCGCAATATAGATCGGTCTTTAACAGCTCTGGATGAATGGACTGATTGAGGAGTTTTCTGGGGGAATATTTTGACCAATTACTGCCAAGAACAGTTCTCAGTATACTGAAACAATATTAGTTGGCACATGGTACTGTCAGTCAATTCAATTACAAAGAAGGTATTATAACGGGTCATCCGGACGCGTCAAAATTACTAAACAGATGCAATAATATAACTAAAAACTGACGAATATAATAAAAGGAAACAGTCGAAGGTGCAAGGGTGCACGCACAATGAGTTTATTTCTAAAAAATACAAGCAACTATACCGGTAGCAGACCTGGGAAGAACAAAGAAAGAACGAAAGAAAGAATCGTTTAGGAAGGATACACAGTCACTCGAACTCTGGATCATTATATAGTAATGAAAATCTTTTATTAAATGAATGAATATTCGTATGTTTGGAAAAGACAAGTGAAGAATATAAGAAACGGGCAAATACACAAACGTTTAGAAGATTATTTAAATTTGTTTTTTAAATTTAATAAGTACGTATTACAATGAAGAAATTGTGGAAACCAAAAGACATCGAAAATTGGAATATAAAAACGTACAGAGAGTTTAATTGAAGAGAAGAGCTGTCCTTTGATTTAAAACTGCGCGGTAAGAAGGAAGGTGTTTTACAATGCATATAGATAGACGGGTTGGCAATCTGATAGTGCTGACTTCGTGGTAGAAGTGAAATCTGAGTTTTTCATATAAAAGTTGATTGGAAGGTGGTAGGATGCCGCAGAGTGTTGTTCCATAATATAGAATATAGTCAGCGAGAGTTTCGATATGAAGTTTGATAATAAAAGGATGGTACCCGGGACGAGAAGACGCAAATAATCGCAGCAGCGGAGACGGCGCCATTTTACGGGGTCCAGTAACCATGAAGATGATGCACTGTTATAACAAGGTCAAGATTGCAACCAAGTAATTATTAGTAATGGCGATTAGAGTTAATTTCTTTTTATTTTCAACACGAGTACAATCGCGTGGATGAATGCATTTTAAATAATTATGAATGAGTGAGTGTTATTGAATTGATTTTTTCAAGATATGTTGTTTTTAAAGAATAAATTTTATAAGTCACATTATGTTTTGATACTATAAAAAGTTGGTGTATGTACGGCGGAGTGCAGAATTCGCTGTGTGGCATTTTGAAATCTGGTGTTTCTCAATAAATGCTGATAATGTTGACGGCATTGTTAAAATTTGTGTGTATGTATTAGCAGGTAATATAAATGCAATGATAGGAGAAAGAACATAGAGAGCCAGGTTCCCAAATCAATATATTAATATTTCGATTTCCTGTACACTGGGCGACTTCGCAAATTCACATAACATTTATAAATTTGTACTGTAGGAGCGTAACGTAATAAATCGTACAGATTTTGACTCGTTCAAGTGTGGGGTGAAACCGAAAACGGGTTAATTATTAGAAATTTTAAATCACAAGTTTATGATCAATTACAGTATATCCTACAGCTATGAATTTATATTCACTTAAGATTGCGTCATAGACTATCTATTACACAATTTTAAAGTGTGTAATTGATTTAACGACTGAAGTTGCCGGAATAAAAAAGAATTTCGAAAGTTCTTATAAGTTATTATATAAGTTCCAAATAGGCCTTACTAAAGATAAAGATCAAGGATATTACTGAATTATATTATGAAAGTGGTGGGTTAATAAGCGATGAAACGGGAGCTTTGTTAAATTAGTATTGCAAATAGCTGACATATTTATGGTGGGAAACAATACACCACGTCGCATTTACAAACTTTACGATTAAAGATGTTAGAACGCGTAACAATGACTACGTAAACGTGAGAAGTGACGGTGAAATAATTTGTTATGTTCACTAAATGTGGTAAGAAACAGGGCAATATAATAGAAATGTCACGAACATTGAAAAGAACTAAATAGGTAAGCTGAAATACAAACATTACAGTATAGTCACATTGTTTACCTTTGTTGCCGTGATTAGCTTGTGCAATTATGCTCGGAAAATATTTTTTACTACCAGCCTACTATACCGTGTTCATACCGACAAAGGTAGCTCAGAGTATCATCTGAAGTCACTGCAGTGCCTGTGACTAGGAGGTCCTAGACACGACGGTCGCAGGGTTTTCGACACTAGCTAGTTCGAATTCAGCCGCTGTTTGGTGGACAATGCTTGCAGATAGGTAGTTTTCCGTGGTTTCTCCGATCTACAACAGCCGAATGCCGGAGCAGTAACCTAACAAACGGATAACCGGGCAATCCTTCCTTCTCCTATTCTCATCCCTTACTTAGTTTGTTTCGGCGAGGGGTTGCCTCGCAGGTGGGAGATACCCGGTTAGAGAAAACCCCGCGCCCCGTATTTTGCCATCCAGAGGGGGAAGATCACCGTCACCTCAAGCAATAAAAATGTGCACTACACTTTCGGGACTAACAATATTAGCAGTCGACGTGCTCGAAAACACTAATCAATCAAAGAGTTGACAGCATATACCAGGAGATCCGGTTTCACTTCCCATCGGGGCAGTCAACTAAACGTCATTCAAACATCATTCTATATATTGTCACATGTATTGACGAGCTCAAAAAAGACAGTAAAGGTAACAAAAGTGGACTACCAGTATTATAATTTCTTGTAATAATGCATAAGACTGATTTGGTATTTTTTCATTTGTGTTACATTCTTAATTACATTACTGAAAAAAAACAACATTATTTACTACTCGTCGTATCTTCAACATATTTTCCCTCAATGTTTCTCCATTCGCTATTAAACCTAATTATTATCCTGGAGAAACTTCACTAATTTTCTTTTCAAGTTTCATTTCGGAATGTGTTCTCAGATTTCCAGAATAACAATTAGCTCTCAGACGTCTGTAATAAAATTTTCCTCAAAAATATCTGTAATTGTACTGCTGAATGAACTGAATAAGAACTGTCATATTCTTCACAAAACAATTCATTGTTTCGTCTTCTTGGGTACGAAAACAATATTCATGAATGGGGAAGAAATTAACTAATATTATTGAACACGCTTAAAGTAAATTTTCACATAAAAGGTAACAGTCACTTCCCCGAATACTAAATAATATCATAGAAAACAATAAAGGATATATTACGTGGCCAGAACAATGAATAATCCGGAATTTTATTAAGGTGCTTAATTTAATTTTCAGCAGAAGCTCGTAAACAACCTTCTTTGCGTCTCTCAAAGTCCATAATATATAATTCCACTTAATTTCAACGCTGTTGCCTTCTCTGGGAAACTGTGACATCCTGTCTCACCAGTACGTTCTCAACGATAAAATCATCACAGAGAAACGAAACGACATAAAATGCTGAAGCGCTTGGGCGCGCGCGGGGCAGGGCACTCACCTTGCTGGCCGTTGGCGCCCGCCTCCTGGCTGGCCGCGATGTCCTCCATGGTATCTGCTGTCAAGATGCCATTCCCGTTGGCGAAGCTCTCCAGCAGGCCGTATCTGCAACAGAGCGGCCGGCGGTGAAGGCGTTGACGCGCGCTCGCTATCGCAGCACGCAGCGTGGGTGGGAGTGGGGGGTG